GATTCTTTTATATTAATTATTTATTATTTTAATTTTTATTACTGTTGATTATTTTAATATTTTTAACTATTTTAATATTAGTGATTAGTTATTTATTAGTGATTATTAATGATTGACATTACTAATTATTTATTGAATTAATAATTATTTATTAATTATTATTTTTTTATAATAATTTTTAATTTTTATTAATAGTACAAATCGATAAATTATTTGAATTTGATAACACAAATATATAAATTATTTTATATAAAATAATACAAATTGAACTCAAAATTGTCAAATTGTCTATTCTAGGGGTAAAATAATAAAAGTAAGAAATTTCATATATTAAAGATTTGATCAACACAAACAACCTAATAATCTATTCATAGCATCTAAAAGGTAGAAAAGTATTTATGACTCTTCTCAGAATTTAAACATTTTTAACATCTTTTTAATTTTCAAGACTTCAGATTTATCAAACACCACCTTAGATTCCGAAATAAAAACTAACTTTGGAGAAATAGCTACGAGCATAGCTTTGAGATGTCGGACTGTCGTCCAAGATAGGACCTTTGGGCCTCTTGGGGCGCATCTGGGCCCGCCTCCCCAGCCCTCAAACTTGAATTGGACGAGAACATTACATATTTGCATGGATGGGTTGAATTAACATTTGCATGGACCATCACCAACCAACGGTTTCACCATATGTTTGGTTCCGTTTACATTTACTGACAGTGCCACATAGGTGCCCCCATCAACAAATGCCTCATTAATTGTATTTATTTATACCAAATTTTGCAAATTCGGTTTCTGTGCATCTCTCCCGTTTTAGGAAGCTTTAAAATCTTCCTTAAACGGGTAGGCGTTTATTGGCATCTTGCTGAACGGGTAAGTGTTTATTGGCATTTTACTGATGTAGTGCCTAATGGTGCCTATGTGTCATAAATGCCATCAATAATTGCTTTTCTCGGTTTTGCAGTCACATAAGTACAAAATGCTTACTGAATAATTATAAACGGAACTAAACACCCGGTTTTGCAGTCAATAATTGCTTTTCTCGGTTTTGAAATTGTACCCATCGTCGTGAAGGGGGCGGATTAGCTGGAGACAAAAACATATACACCCCGCTAAATTACTACTTATCACGGTTGGACATGCCAGTATTTAATACAGTAAGGTCTCAGATGGGGTCCATAATAAGCACTGGTGTGTTCAACTATGATAAGTAGTTCAGCCGGGTGTGTATGTTTTTGAATCCAGTTCATCCGGGACTGCGAAATGTAGAGGGAGCTTGTGCAAATGTCTTAAAATTCAGTCAAATAAAGGATTTCGATATAGATCTCCGGATTTCCTGCCCGAGGATGAGATGTTCTCCATGCATGACTGTGATATTACGTGTGTAAACGTGAACAGAGTTCGTGTGAGCAGGATATCTGGACTCTCCTTCATCATGTATATCTTGCGATTTCCATTTCAAAGGAAGCATCTGCAAACTTCAATTAATTAGAAAAATATCCATGGCCACGTGTTTAGATGAGGGGGAGTTCAACTTTACAGTCAATGTTCAAGATTGGATCTGCTTAATCGAAGTAGTAACAAAACTGTTGTAAAAAATGGGGTCATTGTAACTTTGGAGGAGAAGCTCTGAGGCGCGTCTGAAGACACTGTCTTTAGAACGTTATTTGCCCCCACTCAGTTTCACTGAGTTTGTTGTTGGGTTATAGGCAAATTCGTTCCCATGATACAACAGAGCCTTGGGCGAGAATCTGCAACCAGCAAAGTTGAAGAGTCTCCAAAAAAACCTTCTGTGAGACTGTAGCAGACCGGACTGAGAGAGAGAGAGAGAGTGAATTTCAAAATTATGTGTTTTGGAGTCTGATTCATGCTCCTTAAATAATTTGAGAAGAGGTATGAAGAAAAGGTAGGTGTTGGTTTAGAGAAGGCACCTTGAACAGTCACAATTTCAAACATTGTGACTGTTTAAAAAGTAGTTAACAATTAGTGATTGTTAACTTTGAATTGTACCTCTTGATCACATCCGATCGAATCGTGACCGTTGATCTCATCAACGGTGATCAATGGTCAGCAACGCACCAAAACCAAAGCCACCCATCGCGAGCCACGCGGGTGCGAGCAAAGTGCGCCTCATTGCGCCGCACACACGCACGCACACACGTGCATGCGCGTTGCGTGGTATCGAATCCCCATACTCTCCTCTACTAATTCTAAGGAGTGTAAATCAGCTCTTATTGAAATACTGAAAACAAAACTTTTAATTTTCCAATGTAGGACAAGTTCAAAACTAGGTTTTTGTAAGAGAAAAACTGATTTTTCAATCAAGTATGCAGGTGCAATTTCTCATATAATTGACCAATCAAACTCATTGGATTTAATAAAATCCAACAGGAACTGTTGGATATATACATTAACTTAGTGCGATTATCCTGTCCTTGAAAGTGGCCATCCTCTTTGCTCAGTCCATCTTGCGTTTCGGAACCACTAATAGGACCCTTACTGATCATTTGCCCATGCACCAAGTTTTCCGTAACCGTTTTTACTGAATTGCTTGGAATCTAGGGGTGGAGATCTGAAGCCGTTTCATTTACGACCGCTGGAGGCGGTACCACGGACGGACTAGAAGTCGGAATTCCCGAGGACCTATTGCCAGAGTTCCTTCCATTCGATCCTTCACTTTTAGAATTAGCATCTGCTTCATCTTCTCTATGAACTCCGGATCTGAAGCGTTTGCAATGTGTTCCTCCATGCATGTCGTACCGAAGTGAACATGATGCGAAGGTATGACCCATCCTGCCACCTGGCAAAACCTTGGCAACCTCTCATATTTTACTGTAACTGAGATTGTTTCATTGTTATGTAATGTAAAAGGGACAGCAGGAAGCAATGGATTATAAACATCCATAGAAATACGTACCCTTGCAAACCTGGAACCTTATTGGCTTCACACCTCTCAAGAATAAGAAGGTCCTCGTTGAAACTCCAAGGACCCCCATTCACAATGGCTTCTCTATCCGCTAGAGATTTGAATCACACCAACTATCTCCTTCTATGTAAGCTCCAAGCCTGTTTTAGATAGGCTTTGAGACTTGGATCTACTTATTTCTGATCAATTCAATCCATTTGCAGCTCTTAAGTTTAATTCAGTTGTGAGAATCTTCTATCGGACAAGATATACTGCACACTAATCATGATATGCCATGTCAGGATAGCTTATGTAATTATGAAGTTGACGTGGTTAATTATGATTTGTCAGTTCCAGTTAAACAAATTTAGGTAAATTGCTGAAAAGCCTAATAAAATTTTGGATTATTGCTAAAATTTTCTTTAAAGTTTGGTAATTGCAATCACCTCCTTTAAATTTGATGACACAGGTGTAAGTAGACCCTTCTGTTCTGTTAGGATCCACTAAAAAAAAGTATAAAAATGTTCAAAATACCCATACAGATACAATTGAGGCTGGTTGTACAGAATAAAAAAACAATACAAACTTTATGATATGAATGGATTGATACGAAGGATAAATATGGAAATAAATCAATTTTAGAAAAGAAATATTGGAAGAGTTTGGGTTAATGATTTATATTTAGAGAGAACTTGGGAGTTGTTTAGCAAGTCTTTCTATGTAGTCTTTTTGGATTTTCAAACCTTGGAAGACCAAAATTTGGTCTTTCTCTACTTGGCAATGAAAGACAAGAAAGCATAAAAGACTTATGCCCTGAAAAGTTCATAGAAGCCCAAAAAGGGCAAAAGCTAGAAAAGCTTCCTTTCTTTCTTCACCAAAAACATTCATTTAATGCCTTTATAATCATGGTAGACTATGATACTTATTAAACAGTTTGATTTTTAAAGACAAAAAAAAAAAGAACTAGTTACATCTTTTAGCCATTTAGACTACTGGAAGATCTTCCTAACAGAGGGAGTATATTTGAAAGTTCATTGGAAGTGATTGCAATTAACAAACTTCAGGGGAGGTTTCAGCAATTAATTTACCATTTTTTTGGAACTCAAGAATTGGTGGATATAACGTTGTCATTATAAAATTTGCATATTTAAATCTAAATAAACAACCACAATTATCTGCTTCTTCCTCTCAAAATTTTATTATAATAAGGAATCATAAAATAATAAAATCATTTCTGCTACTTTCACTTTTAGAAACGAGATAATTAAAATTCTAATAAATAGAGAGCCGACTAACCCTAGCACATCCAACGTGGGAATTCAACAAATATTGAAAGATTTTAGAAACTCATAATCTTGTCTTATCCAAACCAAATCCCTTGCTAAATCTGTGTTTGGTTTAATATAAAATAAGAGAGAAGCAAAATGTTGAGCTAAAGACGGAAATATCTTTAATGAATTTCTCAAATTCCTAATTAAGAAATTTTCCTCACACCAAACATTAAATGGACCGTACCAATGACAAACCAGGCCCAACATTTTTTTTTTGTTTATTTGACAAGAGAGACGCATCAGAATAAAGTAAAACTTAAAATAAAATTAAACAGAATTTGCATTTTTTGCATTGGCACTCAGAAGCATTTGTATTAGTGCAAATAAAATTGCAATGCAATCAAACATTGTCTTTATAGTCCCGATAAACTGGACACAAAATTGTACATACAGGGCTGGTGAAGACACCGGTGTCCACTGTGATCCCATCTTTGCCCCATCTGTTCTGAACATTGTCGTCATATTCACTCGTGATAGGTAACCCATCCCAGTATGCATGATTTTGCCTCCGGCCAATCTGGAATATCTTTGAAAACATTCTAATGATAGGTTGACGAAATTATATTAATTCTATTACCAAAAAGACGAAATTATATTAAACCAATTCCATTCAAATCTCTTCATAATTTCATATTCCATCCCTTATTCCAAAGTTTCAATTACGTAAAACCAAATATATCTATCCAAAACCTATCTATAGTTCTTCCTGGTATACACTGCTAATTAAGATATTGTAAATATATATACATATGTATGCCACAAAGCTAAACAGAGCACTCAGGCTTGGTCCCCGTAGGATCAGTGCAGTAGTCATAAATCAGGTAATTCTTCCGAACCCACTCCAACTGCTTCAGTTCGCCTGCATCAAGTGTATGGCTCATCCATGGCAGGCTAGGGTTGGTGCACCGTGTTGATTGACCATGCCCAGACCACACGCAGGCATCAACGTTGTAGTCGCGATAAGAGGCTACAAAGGGAGCTTTACTCCAATCTACTTTGATTTTCCCACCCTCAGTGGCCCAATTACTTCCATCCCAGAGACTACCGTAGACTGTCATGGGCTGCTGGCTTGGATAAGGAACTCCCGTTGCTCCAGTTCTGAAGACTCTAATGGGTACGTTGTCGACGTAAAATCTTCAAAACAAATGTCAAGTCGATCAGTGATCACTTTATTACATTTCTTCTATATAATATAATCTGTACACAAAAAGTTTACTTACATTATTTGATGGGGGTTCCATAAGATTGAGTAATTGTGGAAGTCAGCAGTCGGGTTGAACCAGAGATGAATTCTTTGCTCCCTGGAACCCACGTTCTTTGTGAAGATATTGGTCTGCAGAATGTAGTGAGTGGCGCCAATGTGGCCCAAGAATTCAAAGTCGATCTCGTCGTGCCATTTGCCCAGAGTTGAATTGAGCTATACAATAGGCAAAAGAAAAGAGACAGTTATTTATTTGTTTATTATCACCAGCAAAAAAAGAAAACATTCGGAATTTGGCCGAGTTCTTGAAGAATTTGATGCCTTTCTCTGTATCTCTTATTTTCTATCAAACCCAACATAGTCTTAAGAGTTTAAAGATGAGAAGCTGTACATAGAATGTAGTAACAGTGCCAGCAGACATCCCAGTGATGAGCTTCATTCGAATGTCAAATTTTCCAAAGATGAATGCCTTGTTGGACTGAAAGCCAGAACCACAGGACTGATCCATCACGAGATCAACTTGTCGACCATCAGGAGAAACTTTCATGTGGTTGGGGCAAAACAGAACACCTGTATCAGAGTGGAAATCGGCCATACACATGGACGATGACAAGGGAAAGAGGAGAAGCAAAAGCAATTCAATCACATATTTTGAAGGAACCGTCATGTTTGATGTTTGTGTTTATGTTGCCAAGACAAGTTCTGTTGAGTGAGTTATTCTCTTAACGCGAGGCCTGTATTTATATAGAGCTAATAAGGTGGATCCTTGATTCTAGATCAGAACAAAGTGAGAGCATCAAATTAAGAGTCCACGTACGAGTGACTGAGAGTTACTATTTTTCAATTATTTTTATCCAAGCATCTTTGATATTGGATAGATACGTATGGATTTTGATTTGGGCCATTTGCCATAAAATAGAAAAAGATATATTGACTAATTTTGTCGTAAGTAGAATTTTGAAATATGAACTTTAATTTTAGCAAGGAATTTCCTTTGGATAAATCAAGACAATCAGTTTCTAAATTCTTCAATATTTCGTTGAATTTCCACGTCAGATGTGCCTCACTTAATCGGTTTAATAGTTGTATTTATTAGAATTTTAATCTTATGTCATTTAGAAAAAACGAAAAATAAATAGTATAACTCACACAGTATATTATTATATAATATATATATATATATATTATATGTGTCATTTTATAATACATTTATTTTATACATAATATAATACAATATTTAAGTATATACTTAAAATATGAAGAATACAGGTCGGGTTGAGCATGAAGTTTGCCCAAACCCGGTCCTAAAATTTCTGGGCTAATGTTGGCCTAGTCGGGTCGGAAATAATCACCCCTAATTATGTTGTGAATATGAAATTCCAAACACAAAATAATATTGAATAGGATTTTGAATTGAATATTGAAGCCCATTGACTGCCCTAAACTTCGCCCATGATTATGTACCTTATTCTAAGGTGTCATATTTAGGAATGGCAACGCGGTGGGGCGAGGACGGGGAGCCTCTCCCTATCCCCGTCCTCGTGAAAATCCCCATCCCCATCCCCACGGGGATCTCCATTCCTCATGATTTTTTATAATGTTAATTATTTTATTTTTGTTTTTTATTTTATTTAAAAAATAAAAATAAAATAATTAAAATTTACAATCTTATTAGAAAAGATTCAAACATATTTTTAAAAATATTAATATATAGATGTATGTGTACATATGTACATATATACATATATAACATGTGCATACATATATAAATATATATTAGTGGGAATCCCACGGGGCAAGGAGTGTTCTCCCCGTCCCCGCTAATGGGGATGAAAATTTCTCCATCCCCGTCCCTATGGGGGGGAAATCATCCCCTTCCCGGCCCCATTCGGGGCGGACCCCACGGGGATCGGGGAAATGGGGAAAATTGCCATCCCTAGTCATATTTTGATGACAGTAAAGTAGTTTCTAGTGTATGATGCTCGGATAGACATGACATGGGAAAAATTGAAAACCAATCTACCGTAAGTGGTAACCAATTAAGTTGGTGTTAAACAAATAAGTCAACTTCTAATGTCATGTATAAATTAAATAGTTAAAAATAAATATACAGAAAACATTGTAAAAACTTGAAAATATCTTTATTGTCATATATTCATCAATAAAACTTTGTAAACATTGAGAATTATTTTTTTTAGTCAGGAAAATGGTTAAAACACAAAAAATAAAATAAAACAAAAACTAATGTCATTATCCATGGCTCGTTGACCTAGTCAAAGAGGTTAGTAGTTCAACCAATAAGGATATTTGTTTGTTGGCCAAATTAATGGTTTTTTGCAACAAGGTTGTTTGAGTGAAAAAAATGCTCAAAGATTTGTTCAACTCAACCAATCTAATTGTCCAATCTTCTATCCCAATATGATAATTGAAAAGTGTAGGTATCTCAACCATCTACAATACTATAATATGTGGGAATAACTCCCCAAGGCTTATAGGCTTTTCTTGGATGTAAAGTACCCATATTTTTTGAATTTGGTTCCTCTTTATCATGATGGTAAAAACTGTAACCGTGCACTATTACTTTAAGTTTATTTTATTCCCTAAGTCCTATATTTAATGTATTAATTTATATTTTGCAAGTATGATTTTTGTCATATTAATTTACTTGAATTTTAAATATATCATAGTTAAGATATAAATTGAAAATTAATAAAAGTAACAATATGACTAAAAATAAACTTAAATACTTGTACAAAATGTGCATGTGCAAAAATTTAAATTACATTTACAATTATTATTATTATTATTATTATTATTATTATTGTTGTTGTTGTTGTTGTTGTTGTTGTTGTTACTACTACTACTACTACTACTAAATTTTGTGTTTTATTTCTGTCTTAAATAAAAATAGTTTTATTTAACAATTATTTTTATTTAATATGATGATTATGTAACATTAGAAATGCTTTGAAATGTCTTTGACAAAACTTTGCACTTCTTTTATTTTTTGTGTTTGATTTCTTTAAATATTTATTATTCAACTATGACATCATGAATTTCTTTGAAAAGTTGGATCATTGGCCCATCATTTAGATAAGAAAATAGCTTTACTTTTAGATCAATTTTAAATTATATATTCCATCTATATTATATAAATATTTTTTATTTATCACACTTAATTTTTGTTTGGCATAATTAATATATAGTTTTTTTATATATTCTTTTGATTACTTATACTTTTTTATTACTTTTTAAATATTTATTATTTAACTATCATATCATCAATTAATCTATTTGACCCAAACCACTAACCCACGACCCAAAAAAAAAGTTTGATTTCTAGGTTGACATTAAATTTTGTATTATATTTCCATTATTGATAAAATTATATCTTATGTATAATATTTATTTTTGTTCAATATTATAGATGTATCCAATATTTTATTTTTTATAAATATATAACATTATATCTTATGTATAATATTTATTTTTGTGATTCTTTGTATTTTCTATTTTTAAAAATTTTATTATTTAACTATGACATCTTTTCATTTCTAAGTTGGTTTCAATTTTGACATTCCATTTTCATCATTTATAAAAATACTTCTTGCATTTGATACTCATTTTTGTTCAGTATAATGGATATACAATATTAGTTATGTGCCCAATTCTTTTTACTTTTTGTATAATATATTTTATTTATTTTATTTTTATTATTTAATTATGGCATTATTTATTAATGCATTTGACCCCAAATAGTTGAATTGCTTATCCACCAGTAAGAGGGAAGAAAATGGTTTTGTTTTCAAATTATTTTTAAAATATTTATTTTTTATATTATTAAAATTAATGTTGTGGATTTAATTAGTAGAATTTAATAATGAGAAAAATATATCTTAAATATAGGATTTAATAAGAGAATATACATTATATGTGAGATTTAATGAGAGATAATAGGAAAATAGTTTTACTTTCAATTGGTTTTAAAATTTACATTCCATTTCCATCATTAATAAAAAACATTTCCTATTTATCATCAATGTTTTCAACCTATTGTTGACCTAGCTGATTTAAGAGTTCGAATCATCACTCGGCCTTGATCTTGGGTTTGGTTCTGTTGAAACTCTCCATTTTAGTTAAATACCATTTAACCTGGGTGTTTCAACCATTGCCCCGTTCGACCCAATAACCAGGTTATAGGTTGCACACTTAATTATGTACAAACTTTTGGAAGCCATAACTTTGCACTCCGATGTCTGATTAGGGTTATCGTTTTTATTATTTTAAGTAACCTTTTAAGATATATACGTTGCAAGGGCCTTAGGCGCCTTGCCTTGCTATTTTTGCGAAAAAACCCCTTTTTTGACCCCAAATTAAAATTTTACTATTTTCTATAAATAAAAAAATAAAATTCTGCATTAAAAAACATAAATAAATGTAACATAATACATATATTATATGTTGTAAAACATAATTATAAAATATATGTAAAACACAATTATACTATTTATTGATAAAATATGTATTTTTACATGCACACATATATAGTGTTGACGAAAAGTGGTTTTACTCATTTGACCTTGATAGTCGAACCGATGACTTGTGACCCGAAGGCAAAAGTGGGTCAACCTCTAGGTCAGTTTTTAAAACATTGTTTATCATTCTGAATATTGATTAATATGTCAAATATATGATGTTAAAAACATTCCCATTTTTTTAATTTCTATATTTTTAGCATTTTATATATTTTTGAATTTTATTATTTAATTGTGGCAACATGGATTGGCCCATTTGACCCAAATGGTTTAATTTCTTATCACCACCTAGATGAAAACACTTTTTTTTCCCGATAGATATTAAAAGTATAAGTTTTTATGTTATTCAAATTATTAATTTATTATGTATGGATTTAATTATAGAATTTAATAGTGAGAAAAAACAAAAAAGCCTTACATATATGATTTAATGAAGGTGAATGCAAATTAATACCTTAAATGTTGAATTTAATGAGAGAGAGTTGAATGCATTGAATATCATAAAATTACCTCTTTTCAACTCATTCAATATCAATAACCAACAACCCTATTTGCCCTCATTTTTATCAATAAATTTAAATATAGAGGGGTAAGTTTTGTCCTCAAAACATTCCAAAAATATTCTTGAGGGTATTTGTACTTTTCAAAGTAGTATATCTAGCATATTTTAAATAAATGGGTTTTGTGGACACTTTCTTAACAAAAATACCTTTACAGTAGAATTTGGATCCTCTATAAGGACAAAAAATGTAATTTGAAGTACTACTTTTATTTCATTCAATTCCCTCTCATTCACTCTTGTATTTAAAGTGTTTAATCTTGTTTACTCTTATTAAATCTTGTACTTAAAGTATTTTTATTTTTCACAAATAAATTCTACTAATTGTTAGTATCGAACTTTTGCTCAAGCCCCACTTTTTACCTCTTACCCACTATCTATAAAGCATGAAACACTATTGTATCCATCAGAACATGCTAAACACTCCTCATCGAAAAACAATCCATATTTCTAACATTATCCACAAATCAAATGCTTGATCAGATCACAACAATAAACTTAGAACGCCTAAAAGCCCTATGATACCTAATTTCATCCATGATGTTTGATGAAGGGTGATTTGGTCCTCTAGTG